GGTGGTGAGACCTGCAATGCTCTATGGCGCTGAATGTTGGCCTTTAAAAGAGAAGCATAATACTAAGTTGAGTGTTGCCGAGATGAGAATGATTAGGTGGATGAGTGGCTTTACACTTAGAGACAAAATGCCCAATGAATATATCCATGATAGGTTTGGTGTAGCTCCAATGATGGAGACAATTAGATAGAGTAGTCTTAGATGGTTTGGTCACATTAAAGATCGACCATCTGATGATCTGATTAGGAGAGTAGATGTTTTAGATTCAACTTATGTTAAGAAAAGCAGAGGTAGACCTAGGAAGGCTAGGGCATATTGTATATAAAATGATATTAATTTATTAGAATTTAATGAAAATATGACACTAAATAGGAAGCAATGGAGAAAAAGGATTCATTTAGCCAACCCCACTTAGCGGGATAAAGATTTTGTTGTTCTTGTTGTACTAATATGTTCAACAAATCTAATGCAACACCATGCATTTATTATCTCTGTTAAGTTTTGGACCTATACTTTTAAGTTAATGTGAAGCCAGTAGTGGCAAAGTTTCATAGACATAATGTGATATAGCAGCTATCCTTCGACTTATCAGTACATTGTGTAGGGCATATTGTATATAAAATGATATTAATTTATTAGAATTTAATGAAAATATGACACTAAATAGGAAGCAATGGAGAAAAAGGATTCATTTAGCCAACCCCACTTAGCGGGATAAAGATTTTGTTGTTCTTGTTGTACTAATATGTTCAACAAATCTAATGCAACACCATGCATTTATCATCTCTGTTAAGTTTTGGACCTATACTTTTAAGTCAATGTGAAGCCAGTAGTGGCAAAGTTTCATAGCATAATGTAATATAGCAGCTATCCTTCGACTTATCAGTACATTGTTGCTTACTTCAGTATAAGTACAATCCTTGTTAGGCATACAACTACCTGGCTTTGTTGCTCAAGGGATTATGGGTTTTGTCTTGTTATTTTGATAACAATGTTATTCAAATAGCAGCGTTATGTGTTCAATGCTGTCTGTTTGTTTCAATATTATTTTGAGAAACTTAATAATGTATAGAATGAGCATTAGTGAGTATGCTTTTGCTTTTTATCTTATTTCTTTTACCAGCAAGGGTTGGGTAATTTAAATTACATCACTTTTTTTGCTATCTTGGTCACCTCATTATGACTTGTTAATGCTATTCATATTGCCTCAATTTGGGAAAATAACAACAAACTAGAAATATTTTAATATTTATAAGAAAATATATCTTAACATCTCAATAAATAAAACTGCGACTTACTGAAAACATCGATATTTTGAAGAATAATTGACTTTATAGCAAGTGTTGAACTATATGAAGCATACATGTCTCTTTTCTATTAACTAACCAAAATACTTTATTTATTTTACAGACTACAACTATAACATTTATCCAAACTATTTGAAAGAGGGCCAACTTGGCCAACTAGACTTTGTTTTACTTGGTCCCTACAAATGATAGGCCTTGCTATGCACACTAAGAGCTTGATTGTTTCTAGAAACATTCTCTACTAATTAACCATGTATATGTCTTAACAGTGCAGGGTGAACCAGCACAAAGAGTACTCTCTGCTCTAAGAAGATCTGTGATGAGGCGCACTAAAATGAACTCAATCTTTCAGGTGTGAACTCTTAATTATGTTCCTCTTTGATCGTTGATTTTTTCCCAACCTTGCTTTGTTTGATTGTTTGTATCAATAATGTCAGTATTTGTTAACTACTTGCTCTTAAAATCCTTAAAAGTCTACTTAAATCTAGAAATTTGCTCTTACAGTAGCTATGGACAAATTTATGTTTTGGGCATGCTATCCCTGTTTCTTCTCAGTCAACATAATGGATACTATATGTTTTGCTAGTTTGTGAAGCGTGATTCATCAATGAAACATGGATTAGAATATGGATAAATGCGGGAACTACTAGAGTCTAGGATAGGATGATTGGGGAATTATTAGCAACCGGGTCACAGTGGAAGAATCCTTTTCTATAAATTATGGAATGTATCTTCTTTTATTTATTGATGACTAAATTCTCAACATCTAATGTAATTATTTACGCATTACGGGGTTACATTTTTCTGTTGAACTTAATTGTGTACTTGGAAATAATTTGCATTAATGTTACTGTTGCACCGAGGCTCATTTGATAGGTATGCCCAGTTCATACAGTTTTCTGATACATGATGCATGGAATTAATGTTGCAGACTTCTATGAAGGAATGTGGAGAAGTGGAAGCATCTCCTGTGGCAATTCTCTTCTCTGGAGGGTTAGATTCTATGATACTTTCTGCATTACTGGACCAGTGTCTAAACCCACAATGTAAGTTTATATATTCATATACAATGAAGTAATTGTTCAATAATCTCTTATATTCAGCTAAGACTTGGGCTTATATATAGCCTTACAACATTATTTACAAATAAATCCCTAAACTGATTCTTTATTTCCTATTTACAAATAGGACTCTAAACTTTACATAATTCTCAACCTAAGCCTTAGGATAGGCAAAAGATATCCATTAAGCCCATCTTGTCACACAATCTAGATAGATCTAATGATCTAAGTCCCTTGGTGAGACAGTCGGCTATTTGCTCTCTAGTAGTTACATGATCTATCTCCATTAATCCACTATTCAACTTCGCCTTGATGAAGAACCTATCAATCTGCACATAATTGGTTCTATCGTTCTGCACTGGGTTGTTGGCAATGTTGGTTGCTGACTTGTTGTCGTACCACAACTTCTTTTGTGCTCTTTCATCCAACTTGAGATCTACCAATAATGCTATTAGTCATAACATCTCAGCAACTCCTAAGGCCATAGCATCTTACCAATAATACTCTTCCTCTGCCGTCAACCTCACAATTGCTGACTTCTTTTTGTTCTTCCAAGAGACCAAATTGCCCCTTACAAACATGCAATATTCTGATGTGGATCTCTTGTCATCAACACAACTAGCCCAATCAGAGACATAGTAGCCCTCAATGCTTAAATGCCCATTTTTTCTGAAGATCAACCCTTCCCTAGTGTAATATTCAGGTACCTCAGAAGTTGATACATTACATCTATGTGACTTTTTCTTGGATCATGCATGTAACGACTCACTACGCTTACTGCAAATGATATGTCGCGACGAGTGTGACTCAGATGAGATGACACTCAACTTTCCCTTCTGATCAATTGGTGAAGTTGCAAGCTTGCATCCCGAATGCCTGTCTCTGTGAGCAAGTCTAGCGCATGCTTCCTCTGAGTTAGAACAATCCTCTCTATTCCACGAGCCACCTCAATTCCGAGAAAGCATTTAAGCTGTCCAAGGTCTTTCACCCCAAACCCTTTGCCCAAACTTGTTTTCAGTTGAGCAATCTCTATGGAGTACTGATCGAACTCTGAATTAACCTAGTGCTTTTGGAAAAAAATATTTGAAATCTTAAATAGACATTATAACTTTTAAAACTTGAGTTTTATAACAATGTAGCACTACAACAAATGTATGTATCGTTCAAGTAATATCGAATTATTGAGTCTAAGAAAAGTTCTAGCCTGGAAGTATAGTTGATCTAAGTTATGCTTGTTAATCTTACGAAGTTATCACTTTTCTCCTAAGTTATTTATACTAAAGCTAATTAAATTGAGAAAGATCAAGATATAAAAACTACATTTCCCTTGCAATGACATAAGTAATGTGTATATGAATGAAATATTTAGAATAGAAATTGTAGTAAGTGATAAATAGGAGCGAACCTCTTCTTTTCTCTCTTTCGATTGCATAAAGAAGTTTGGTTCAAACTTGGTTAGTGTTTTTGCCTGCCACCCTAGAAACCCCAATTTAAACCCATCAAAGCATATTTCTCTATCTATTTGCATTGTCCTATGAAATTCTTTTCCTTCACCCATTAGTGCAATGTGATTTCTCCTAGTAGTTAAAGCCATAAATCTCTCGATTGATTATGTATTCACAACAAATTTTAACTTATCACTTGACCAAAATGATAAGTAAATGAAGTACAAAGTAAAACCATCACTTTAATGATTAAAAACCTATTCTAAATACAACCAAATACCCTACACATATTACTAATTCATCATATGGGAAAGGTATGAAGTATCTACTCACATTGCATGAAGAAAACACTACAATTCATTATCTTATAATAAAACAAGTTCATACAAAATGATTTCACAACTAATACAAGACAATGTAGAACGAAACACTTATCTTTCTCCCTTGCGATATTCTCTCAAATCTCTCTAAGGAAATGTAGAATAATGTAAAACCTAACTCTAAACTCTCGATTTCTGCACCCTTAGGCTTTCTCCAAGACTTCCCAAATGATCCACCATCCGTTTGAACTGCTTCCATGGCTTCTTAACTTCCAAATTCGTATATAACCAACTGCAGAAACGACATTGGACAATTCAGGCGCCTAGGCGCTCAGTTTGCGGCACCTAGGCGCCGCCTTCTCTGTTTGCATGGGGGAATTTTGGCGCCAAGGCGCCGTCTGCAGCACCAAGGCGCTATGGGATAACGCCTTGGTGCCCAGAAAGTGGTGGCTAGGCGCCAGCCTGCTGGTAGCCCCATTTGTTCCAATTGTCTTTATTTCGCTCCGATTTTGCTCCAATTCGCTCCAATTATCCTACCTGTTATGCCTGCAACAAAAATATAAAAATGTCTTTCTTTAAAGTACAATTTTATTCAAAAAAAATGCAAAAAGTAAAGTAAATTATGAATGATAAAAGACATCAAAATTCCCAAAACTTAAACGTTATTTGTCCTCAAGTGACACTACAACTTTAAAAAGTAAATTTGTTGATTTAAGGTAGTAAGTTTCTTTAAGACTTTCTATAATTTTGCCTTGGGAAATCCATAGAGCTTTACCTAAGGGAAGTTCTAGTGAATCAGACTAGGACTAGAATATAAAAATATCTTGTATTCAACTTAAGAATTCTGATTTTCTATCCATTTCAAAATGAATTGCAATTTCTCATACTTCAGATTTCTAGAAAATATAAAAGACATAATTTAAAACACTCGATTAGTAAAGATTTGAATAATACTTCTATGAAATAAGAGCAAACTTAGGATTGTATCTAAATCTTCTCCTTTAAGAAAGTTCAAGTGAAATCAATTTTTAGTTAAGCTTCTTCTTACTTTTCATTTTTTACTTTTTTTTTACTCTTCCTTTTCTTTTCTTTTTCTTTTAGGATCATTTTCAATCATTTATACTTTTATGTGAGGATTACTATATCTGGATTGATCTTTAATAGTTTTAAATTTTACTATCCTTCTTTTAAAGTTAAAAACTCACCACTTTCTTTCACCGATAATTATGAGTATTAGTTTGAAAATAGTTTTTAATAGAGACTCAATTCTTATAAAGTAAATTTAAGAATCCTATTTTTTCAAAAGTTCAATTCTGTTTTACTAAAATACTAAAAGCATTTTCTTTTATGTTTTTTACAAAATACCTCATTTCTAGAATGGTCCATTTTCCCTAAATCTCAACTGAGTTTTCTATAACATCTCTAAAGTCAAAATTATAGTACCCTACAGGTAAACCACATACCACAAGTCATTTTAAATTGATATCAATTTAATATGTAAACTACTGAGGATAAATAAAGTTAAGCTTTTAAAAGATTTTTCTCCCTCACTCAAACTTAATTTTTAGCATGGATGACATTAAGATCAAGTATATAAACAAGGAGAAAAGAAAACTTACTTTTTAACACAGGAGTCTATTACCAAAAATATATAAGTATAAGCAGATGAGACAAATATGTATAAGTGAATCTCAATTTAACATGTTAAGCATGAAATTTGCATTAAAAAAATCAGTATCACAACAGGTATGTTCCATAATCAAATCCAATCAGTGGCAAAAACTAATCCAGTACATCCAAACAGAAGCAATGAATACATAATCCAGTACATGAAACAAATATAAAAGAAAATACATCAATCTAGTAGTGATAAGGAAAACATAAATATAAAAGTATGCTACATCCAAATGAAAAGAGCTGCTACTCATTCCCACCATCATCATCATCGTCACCATCATCCTTCATTGAGTCCTCACCGATCAGCTTGCAATGCTCATACAGTTTATATGGAGGATAAGAAGAAAATTCCACTATCTTGTCTCCTCCGATCCATTGGTTTTGTCTATACATTTCCAACTAACCAGTATAAATACAAGCTTCATGATCGCTTCGACATTTGTTCTGCAAATCCAAATGCCTGCAGTATCATACACTTGATTCTGAATGATAGCAATAGCACCTTTTATAATCTTCAAATGTTCAAACATAGAAGCCGTGCTCATAGAAGGTCAAGTTGACGCATATGAAGTTGATGGTTTAGAAGAAGAAGGAACTTGAGAAGAACTAGCTCCACGTCCAAAAACAACATGTTTATCATATAAACTTAAATTGGCCTTACTAATAGGCTTTAATGGATGCAATAGCTCCTCCCATTTCGTAACTCCTCCCATTTCTCAAAACCAACAACAGAATGCTGGCAAAGGGAGAAAATAAGAGATGATATCCTAATCCTAAAGTAGAACCTCCTGACACAATATTGAGAATAGAATGGTAGATGATTGAGCCAATATCAATAGCCTTCATAGTCTGATTGCAATAGTTCACAGCAGCCATCTCTAGAGTAACTTCACTGAGATTGGTGGAAGGAAGAAGATTGACAAAAATGAAATAATGTCAGGCCTTGGAAGGAGCATTTAGCATAGACGATGAAAAATTAACTTTATGATTATTTTTCACCTTCCAAGTACCCTTCCCATCAGTCAAGAACATAATAATCTCATCGAGCTCAAGTTAGAGGGTACAAATTTAGAGTAAAAACTATTGGGGACATCTCTCAAAGAATATAGCAATTAATACGTGAAGAGGATATAGTAACTCTCTTCACTGAATCATTAGAGGCATCAGGGAGATTAGCAAAAAACTCTCTGACTATAGAAATAATAGCTACAACAGTGATATAACAAAACGTCTCCCAATGACGAGATACAATAATAATTTCCATAGACCACCAGGGCTAATGAAACTCCGCTCAGCAATTAGTTTCTTTGATACAAGAAATTCGTTGTATCGCTCCTGAGCTTTAGAGCTAACGAGTTTCGTACGATCAAAAGAACTTTTATCTTTACTCTCCTTGATTTTGGGTGCCATAGCAATTCTAGATAATAAAAAAAATGATGGAATGAGTTCAAATATATGGTGTAATTGACTCAAAATGCATGTTTAGAATTAAATCAATCGCATCAGGGAGATTAGCAAAAAACTCTCTGACTATAGAAATAAT